TCAAAGTAACAACCACATGTGGTTTATTGGAGGAACAATTTATGAAATTCACCTCAGATTGTTGGCTTTAGAAGCAGTAAAGTCATTATTAAGCAACAACTGAATTTAAACAGCCCCTGATGATGGATTCAGTCGCAAAGCTCTCTTTTCATGCTTCAGCTAAAACTCTGTTGCTGTCAGTGTGCTTTGTATGTGGGGTACAAATAGAAAAAACATGCCACAATTTTATTTGCAGAATAGTTTACGGTACTTTTTAAAAATCTAGTAAGAGGTAAATTTAAAAAATTTATATTATGCAGATTTATTGTTTTGTGAGCAATGATGACACCAATTAATGCTAAATGGTTTGAATAACCGTAAAACCAGGAATCTAGTCAAAACCGGTTACAAACTTACTACAGATTCATTTCAGTATGTGATTCTTGTTAAAAGCAGTGAGTAACAAGAGTCAATACTCTTCAACAATCAATCATCCAAGAAATTTTAACATCAGGTCTATAACACCGACCTAGCTGCTTGCATTGCAGGACAACTTCTAAATACTTTCTGTGGCTGTTTCTGACAGGTCTTCATGGTTTTTAATGACTAATCATAAATCTTCATTTTTTTCACCACATGTTTTTACAACCTGGGGCTGGTCACCGCTGATTGATAGTCACTAAAGTGCTCCCAAAAGAGAACAGCCATGTTGACGCTGGCACTACGTCTTATCCATAGACTTGTAATTGCTCACATCTTCACCCAAGTCCACAGGCAAAGAGGATAAGCCTCTCTGAGAGGTTTCTTAAGAGGAAGAATTTTAACTGCTTGCTGAAAGCTATGATTTAACATTAGAGTGAATCTAAAATCCAGCACAACTGCAAGTATAAGTATATATATATTGCCTTTATTTCTAATGTAACCAAAGCCTAATTTGATTTAAATCTACACATGTCAAACTCTGGAAACATACTTACCAATCAGTCCAGTGCAAATAGCTCTTCATGTTTCTCAGTGAGGAATAAGAATCATTCATGGCAGGAGTCATTTAAGGGATCAGATCCAGGACTGTGAGAATATAGTTACTGGAACAGCAAACCTACAGTGACATCATCCTCTTAAAACTAATGGCTATTATTCAAAAACATATGGCCGCTGGCCACGTATGTAGTCTCCCTCTCTCAAACACACATACACACACCCCCACACACACACGCACACCTCCCCCAGCTCCCTTGTCGACCTGCGTGAAACAGAAAACAATTGTTTCTCTGTTCTATTTTCCTTGCAGGTTGTCCACTTTTCTGCCAGGATTTCAGTGACTGTTATAGTTATATCACATGCCGCAAGCGCAGCTAGCGGGAGGCAAACAGCCTGAGGTGTAACCAGAAGATTGATGTGAATAGTCTGCCAATTTGACTGCAGTCCCAGAATTCCAGAGGAACCTGGTCTGCAGTGCTGTGTGCAGACTCATCCCTCCTGAATCCTGCATACAAGCCAGAGACATTAGAGGTTATAGCTCTGTAGCTCAGGGTCAACAAGGGAGCCAAAACACCACTTCTGCATTTAAATAACTGGAAATTTATACACTCTCACACACTGAAGTTCTGGAAATGCCAATGTTGTCTTTTATATTGTAAAACTTCAGTCCAAACTGTGTTAAAGAGGATATATTTCTTATTTGTAGCTATAGGAAATCATTTTAATGTTACATCTAAAAATGATTTGTATTCATGTTCTAGCTTTATGACACTGCACATAATGGCTGAGTGAAATGCCAACACAAAATCATCCAAAATGTTCCTTTTAAATTGCTGGCTACTGACGGTGGATCATAAAACAGAATATATAGCTATACCTTTAAATACAAAGGATGGTTTTATAGCAGGTGGGGGGAAGTGGCAGCAGCTTTGAAGGCACAAACATGGATTAAGAACAGAGAAGGGCCTCACTTTTTAAAACCTCCAGGCTCAGGGATCCATAAAATGAAACATTTGGACATGGTGAAAGAAAAAGAAAAAACATGTTACGATAGCTTATTTGCTGCCAAATATTTAAGCTATAAGTCTTAATAGCACTTTATTGTTTCCTCCTGTTAATGTGAGGATGTGGAGTTGCATCTTAAACAGACAAGAGTTCTCCAGATGTTTCTTTAAATCACAGAGGAGAGGAAGACTGGAGCCTCTTCTGCTATGCGGTTGTTCGAAATAACATCCATCTTGACCTCTGTCTTAGGTGAAGCATATTTTCATAAGGACTGGGTGCGCAAACTTTAAACTATACACAACTGTATAGAAAATGTCTCAGTACAACAAAGTTTTCAGTTTTTGCCCAACTTAAAATGATTTTTCTATAGTTGGAAATCACACAAAATGTTTTCCCAATGTGCAGTGGAAATTAAAAGCAAACTATTTACACAGCCTGATTCCAAGAATATAACCCCCCACCCCACCCTCCACCCAACTGGTGAAGGCACATGGTTCTACCAGGGGTTTTTTTCTTGTTAAAGAGGAGTTCTTCCTTCCCACGGTTACCAAATGCTTGATCATAAAGGATCATCTGATACCTGGGGTTTTGCTGTTGTGAAAGAACGCTATATAATTAAGCCCAAACCAAATTTGCCAAGGTATTTCACAAGATCTGATGCACACAGTGTCTAACCGTAAGCTCTCAATCCAGCTGTCAACTTGGTGACTGAAATCAAGTGTGCGGTATTAATACTGGAGGGACAAATAAATACAGTGCCTGACTGTGACGTTGAACAAATCAAAATAATACTTCATCAGCTTTGTCAATTGGAGGTTTTCAGTAAAAGGATGAATCCAACAGGATATTTTTTGCAGATCATCTCTTAATAGGACAAAGCTGCATTTTGGCCCCTAGTTTTCTGGAGCTCTTTTGAAGGCAGCTGAAGTGATGATTAGAAAGCAAAGTCAACATCTGAGATATATTTTCCACTACCAAAGCCATTACTGAAACCAGATGGGCAAGACACTGATCTGTTTGATACCGCCTTGTTTTTAACAAGCGTTTTTATTAACAGAATGGTTTCATGTTTTGCAGTTTATACATGTTGTACTGACACGATGAATTTCAATTCTGAAAAGCAATTTTTAAATTAAATTTATATTAAATTAATTTTATATTTATTATATTAAAATATTTATATTAAAATATTTATCAATGGGCTGCTGAGATCTACTGCTTGTCTTGTTAAAAGGGCAGCTTCTGTGACTCTTGCATTAGAAAGTCATAGCTGTTCAACTACAGACACTTGATTAGACAGTGCTGCCCTTTGGTTAAGAAAGCATTACAGTTCACCATCAACATGAGCTTTTAATGATGCATAACTCAGGACTGGCATTTACACTCAACATACCAACACACCAACAGCCCATGAAACCACAATAAACCTGGATTCAAAGCCCCCCAGACAAGAGTTTAACATCACTGGAGAAGTGGTGGGAGTAAAAACATGCATGCGTCAGAGATCCTCTGGCATGGAGATCTGGCAGCGCGATGCTTTATCTTTCCATAAAGCATGCAAATGTTAGATTGACACGGCCCTGTTTGACATGTCAAGGCAGAAGCCAGTTGTTCTGGCAGTGTCACACATCGTGTATAAAGAGCAAAATAACATCTTACATAAAGATATGAGACTGTTGTGTATCTGGAAGAAAGTTTTAAAAACAACAAGTGTTTACATGTAGTAAAGATGTAGCTTTGAGAAAGTAATTTTTTCCCCCCAATATTTTAGATTTTCACTCAGACTTTGGTTATATTTATTTACACTTCACTTAGTGGTATGACTGACAGTGTTCTATTTGGTATTATATAAAAGCATTTTGCAATCTATGAAGCTGTCACTGGGACAAAAACAAGACGGTCTACTTTGCCCCAGCAGGTTCGTTACTCATCAGTTACTGTATCATAATTGGATTACCTAAATAACTGAAACTAGAAGGCTGTAACACAGTAATTTTACACATACTTTCCATGCGAGAGGTGCTTTAAGCAAGAATTACAACATCTTTGAGTCCGTGAAATTTCATTAGATAGCAAATATGGCTCTACTGTCTACTGTCTACTGTCTACTGCCAGTCTTTCATATTCTTTTTTTTTTAAAGATTGTAACTCACTTAACAAATTCACTATAGACGTGATGTCATGTGCACATTGCTTGTGAGTTGGCTGACATATTAGATATAATACAGCTTCTGGTCATTTTGAAAAAAAAATCTGTATTTCCCAACTGGCTGCTGCTTGTTGCTGGGTGAAATGAGTTACAAAAAAGGTGCTCCATATTAGCCCTTTTTGTGATTGCTTTTGTCACTAGCAGATTGCCTTAGTCACCTCTAGTTTGCATGATAGACAGCAACTTTTCTGTAAGAAGAAAGAAAATCTATGTGAAAATACAAAAAAGGTTACCTGTTAATTTCACTTAATAACTACTTAGCCAACCTGGCTGGGGTGGCAATGCGATTTAAATGATTTGTTTCTTGTAAGACTCAAATTGGTAAATGGTAAATGGACTGATTCTTTTCTACTCTCCCGGAGTACTCAAAGCGCTCTATACAACACGCCACATTCACCCAGTCACACCCATTCTCACAAGCACTTTATCTATACTGAGTGCTTTCTAACTACACTCACACACATTCATACTCCGATGGATGCATCGGAGAGCAACTTGGGGTTAGTATCTTGCCCAAGGATACTTGGCATGCAGACTGGAGGAGCCTGGGATCGAACCTCCAACCTTCCGATCAGTAGGTGACCTGCTCTACCTCCTGAGCTACAGCCACCAAGATTTAGGTTACATTTGTTTAAACAAATGTAACCTAAATCTTTCACTGGATGATAACACTGGAGGAATGTCAGTATTCATATTTTAGTAACAATGTGAAACCAAGAATTTCAATTTTAAAGATATTTTACTGAACCAAGTTTTGGTCCAACCACCAGAAAGAAAATGAATGACAAAAAAAGAATCAAGAAAATAATCTCGGCAACACATTTAGTTTTTTTTGTTTTTTATACATTTATGTAAAATTTGTATGTACATGTAATAGGCAACAATGTACTGCTGACATTCAAATTTGCAATAATAGAGCGCTGAAAATGAAACATGAGCAGAACAAACGAGAAAAACAGAATTGCCAATACTTGCTCTTTGATAAGTTTTGCAAAACTGTACGACTACAAGGCGTATTCCATGACCAAAGAATAATGAATACTGCAGACTAAACGTATACCAACATAAAAAGAAATATTTAAAAAGGGCAAAATCAAGTAATCTGCCACCCAGGCTTACAAATTACTCTGTGATTGGTGTTAATGCTTCTCTTATGGATTTCAAACAACAATGTTTAATGATGAAATGAATGAGCTTCAGAGAAATGTTCATAACTGCTGATAGTGCAGTCTTCAGTTAGACAGAATAATCATGGCAGCATATTCAGACTTCTGTCAATAAGTTATTCTACAACAAACCTTTATTGGCTTTTAAAGTTTAAAATACACTGATTTTAAGAGTTTCTTTATGATCAGAAAGAGCCATTTTATAAAAGGCTGTTGGATGTATTTATAATAGTTAGCCAGCAGATTGTTAGCCTACATTAATACAAAGCCTTAAAGTAAAAGGGAACAGCTAGCTTGACTCTACCCCTGTTTAAAATAATACATTTTACTTGTAATACACAGAAAACTCATGTAAAATGACAGTTTATGCTTTCTTTTATTAAAAGCTTTAGACAGAGACAAGCTAGCAGTTTCCTTCTTGCTGAGCTAACACTTTTTCTTCTTCCTTTTTTAGAAAAAAAAGGGTAAGCTAACAGTTTACTGGCTTTAGCTTCAAATTTACACACACAAAAACACGTTCTTGGACAGTTGTGTTAGACTTCTCCTCTAATTGCTAGCAAAAAAAAGAAGTATGTATATTTTCCCAAAATGCACAACAAATCCACAGACCTTTTGAGAAAGCATGTGAATGAAGTATCTATATACTGGAAATGATTTCAGCAAGGTAGGGCTTTTACTACAATGTCCTTTTAAGTTGAAGCGGGGAAAAAAAGAAAACCCAACCCTTCGATTTGTGTGTCGTCACATCTTCAACATAACACGACAGACATTCCACAGTATCGGCTATCTGCAAATGTACAAAGACATAAAGATATATTAAGAGAACAACAGAAAGTTTGGGAATGCTTGTGCAAGTTCATATGTATGATGAGATGCGACCAGTGATGAAGGGGTAGGTCACATTATTTGAAAACATTCTCAAATACGGGACATTTGTAGGTCTTCATTTTCTTGATGGCATTTTTGAACTCTCTGCTGGACTTGTTCCACTTGTGGATGCCTGTGAGGAGGTACTGCTTATCAACCTTGCGGCCCATGATTAGATACTGGTTTCCCAAGTTGTCCAGCTGCTGGCAGGGGCAGTCAGCACCATTCTTCAAGTACAACACTAACTTCTTTGTGTCCTTCTTCTTCAGGTTTCCCGGTTTCAACATCTTCTTCTTCTTCTGCAGGATCACCTTACGGTCTGTGTTTTCTCGCTTTACCTCCTTGATCTTGGCCTTGAAAGCTGTGGGTGGAGGAACAACAGAAAGATGAGTTTCTCTAAAATGTGAATGTCATTTTGAACTCAACATGTTGTACAGTACTGCGTCTGACAGCTCCTGGTAGTGTAGTGCACTAGTAAAATTAATCATCATGAAGGATATTAGGCAGGTCAGTCTCCTGTGATCAGATATAAAGAAACATGCCACTATGGTTCCCCATCCTTTACAGATGATTCTTAATCATTTTTACCTCATATACACAACAAATTTTTCCAACTGAGAACCATTAAAATTCAAGGAATCAAACCCATGAAAAAATCATTGTGCTCTTTACAGTACAATGATAGAATGAGTGTAATATTAAACTTTAAGAGAATGTTTTCGGTGCTTTAAACTTGCATTTTCAATTTGCAAAACATGACTTCCTGTTGTATAGAAGTATATGGTAAAATTCTTTTTATTTGACCTTAATAAAAAAACTCTTGTTGAATCAGTTATAGTCTCAATCGCTGCCATACTTAATACAATATGAAGTACGCTACCACACTCTTAACATTGCCAAAGTAGCAATGTTTATTTTAGTAGTAGCACTTATAACATACTTGCTAAGTAAAAGTGGTCTATGTACATCACGGGCCCATGTACACCTTATTCAAATCAACTATTGAACAGTGTGGCAGTAAGTCTAATAAAGGGAATAATCAGTAAGAATGAGGTTAAAAAGTCGTCTGAAGTGCACAACTGCTAAAGCACAAAAATGTGTGTTTTATTTCAGAATGTATACACAATCAAAGTACATTCATAATCTTAATACTATTGGTGGCTCAGGTCAACAGTATTGCACAATAACATGGATTAATGACGAATAGCTAGCCAAGATACCGCCTTATACAATTTGCTGTTTACTCAGGTTTGATTAAAAATTGGATCACCGTTTATTAATAATACATAAGTAATTTACTTAACATAGACTGAAACTCATTTTCCCACAAACAGTGCATTGTTGCAAATCCTGTTCATGCAAAAGAACTTATCCATGATCCTCTTAATTCTGGGGTTTAGCCTAATACTAATAAATAATGCGGTATGTTTTTTCAGTGACTTCTGATGTTCAAAGACCAAATCCAATTATGGACAAAGCCACTTAATTTTTCTGCTTTTCACGACATAAAAAACAAACAAACAAACAAAGCACAAATAAATTCTCAGGAATACTGCGCTGGGCTTCCAGCTTGTCAATGGTGAACCACATAGGGTTAGGGTTAGGCTACACTTTAGCCACATGGTGAACAACCAATGTTTCAGAAACTAGATGTTCCCTTAAAATCCCGTCTCTTACCTGCACATCACAAACACATCACTAGTGACCTGGCAGATGTTACAAGGTTAAGGTGTAAATATAGACAAAGCATATATCTTTATCACAATTAGCAATGTAATATAATTTTTTTTCTCCTTCATTTAAGTCCAAGTATGTTTTTCAGATTGACCAAAATACCCCTGATCTTTCACTAAACTCTATTTAACCTTCTAATCTTTAAGTTTCCTCTGAAACAGAGCACGAGTTGGACTTTGGTGGTCCAAATTTCCATACCACTTCCCCCCCACACACACACATTATGACCTGTCATATAGTATATCTAGGTGTGTTATGTCTGACTTAACTGACATTTGCGTCAGGATAAATCACGATCAAGCTGGGAATAAAGCCTTGTGACCTTCAGTAGCGGAACAGCCTGACCAAGCATTTCCCCACTCCAGTAAGAAGAGAACAAACTTAGGCTTCAATCTAATTTTCTCCACGATTTTAAACATCAGATCACTTGCTTTTTTACAGAATTATAGTAGACAGAAAAACCTGTACTGGATCCTTGCTCTCCAGTTGCACTCGTATTGCTAATTGCTAATTAAAGTGTTGAAAAAAAATAAATAAAGAGCCTCCCCCTGTATTAACAGTGCACATGGTACGGATTAAGACTTATCCCCCGTCAAACAGTCTCTGTGAGGAGGCTTAGTGTTCAGAGAAGTCAAAATGCAGCAGTCATAATTAGTGTGTAATAAAAGAAAAGGTCTGGCCCACCACTGAAAGGACTTCATCTTGATAAATCCTCCAACCTCGATAATCCTTTAACGCCCTGAACTTTCTTTGCACCTCGAGCTGTTTGAGGGCTTAATCTCTTCTGCAGCAGAATACAATAAGACGTTCAAATGATCAAATAACTGACAACAGTGTTTCTTTTCTCATGGTCAGTGAAACTGCCCTTGTTTGTGTTTCTTCCTACATTAGTTTTTAAAATATTTTCAATTTTTAAAGTTACCAAACAAAAAAAATAAATTCATCTTATACAGTGAGCAAAAGAAAGAAAAGAAAAGAGAAGATAAAGCATTTCTCAAATCTGCCCACTTAATTCTTATGTCATAACCTATAACATTAGCATATTAACTGTAAAACAGCTATGAATATGTTCACACTGACGTGACCGTGTTTTCAGAAGCCCTTCCTGGATCAGAAGATCAAACAATGCTCTTAGATGCATTTTGGCCTTACAGTTTTCCTGTGACAAGATATTTATTTGAGTAAGACTTTTGGGTAAAAATCCACTGTCAATTAGTTGGATGTTAAGAGATTAAAGTTATCGTCACTAATTATTTTCCTACTCCAGTGTCAAGGTAGTAACCCACCAGTTTTACAGTGTAAAAAACCCCCCAAAAGGTCAGAACTAGTACACATATGCAGCTTTTAACAAGGGTTTTCATTTTGAGTCAAAAATAGACGATTCTTTAAATAAAATGGGAACGTCTTCAGTGGAATCAAATATATGTGCATGCCGCACCTTTGTTACAGTGCAAAAGTTAAAAGGAAGATATACTGTCAGTGATTTGGATGCTTTTACGCATGCCAGCGCACTAAAATAAAATGACTTCTATTGTAAGATTTCTTTTTGTGATGTTGTCCCTGAAACCTGACTCGATTACCTCTGCTGGGTCAGATGTATTAATGGGATCCTTAAGTGCCCAACGTGTCATAAACCCAGCAGGAGGGTGTGCAGTGCTCCTCATTCACAATAATGGCAAGTGGTCCAAGCTAGACTGAGCAGTCATCCAGCACAGGAATGCCCTGTTGTTTATCCCATCAGCAAAGGGAGGGAGCAATTCGGATAAGGACAAAGTGAACAGTTGGAAGCCGAGGAGAGATTTAATTGAAGGGCTTCTGGAGGTTTTGGGACAATGAGGTACCATAAAACCTTAAGCACGGAGAACAATTGCAGTGGGAAGAAAAAGCTGATGTTGTGATGATGTTTGAAATCATTTACAGCTGAGTGCGGCAAATAGGATGTGTGTGCATAAATACATGCCCAACAGCTATATTAATCATGAGGATTTCAGGGAAATAAGCGATATTTGGTCCTCACCAGGGAAACCTGTTACTCGTTCTTCCAACTCTGATGCATTAGCTCCACAACACGCAACCTACAGCCATCCTTCCTCCTGTGCCAGAAAAACTCCACATCCAGGGGGCCACAAGTCAAAAGTTTCACCACAGAATTCTCCACTTTTATCAAACCACATGGAAAAATCAAACATGCTCAATTTAAATGCTGGGAAGCACTGCAGTGCAATGCATGATAGAGACTATTTTGGCCTCTTCCTTTTGCAGCTTCAAGTAAATGAGATGGACAAAAATTACAATTCACTGCTAGGTTGAGTTTTTTTTTTTTAATGAATACATGATTGGTCCATGCAGATTACCAAAGGCTTCAGTCTCTGGTTCATCCCTCGAGCCCCTCTATGGTTTTCCATCCCTGTGTTCCACTGAGAAAAGCAAAGAAATCCATCACATCTATTTTTGCAGTCTTCTCCAAACAAAACAGGCTTGGATTTAAGACGCTGCCTTGTTACAGTTTACTGTCCAAATATTTTTTTTGGAACTCAAGAAAGATATCGGGATGACCTTGTGGGATAAAAAACATAGTGATTAAAGCGTGGGATATTTCCATCTGCACATTTTCCTTTTTGCTCAAGACAAGGCATTAACTCATGTTTAGCTTCTGCTGTTTAGCTGCTGTTGGATGTATTTATAGCATTTCTCTCCAGACCAAAACTGAATTCCGTCGGTCTGCTGAAAAAAAAAAATTAACAAACAAATCTTTGGCAAGCTGCAGCGCTGTGTCGTGTCAGGCTACGCATTAGTCGTTTACCCGCCACAATCGAGCCACACTGAAGCGATAGAGAAGTTTGTTGCATTCCAGACTATGTCCCTCCCTCGCAGGGTCAACACAAGCAACAACATCTCATCCTCAGCCTGACACTAAATCTGTCTGTGTATCCTCATATGTCAGCTGGTTAGGTGACTTATGACAAGCAAGCAAAACAACATCTGTCTTCATCCAAGATGAAACAAGCCAATAATGCAGCCCGCTCCCTTGGCAAATCGGGACGCAGACTCAAAGGGGCAAGTCTCATCACCGCAGCATAAACACCGATGCAATTTGTTAAACAAATGTAACTTTAAACTTTTTCTTGAGAACTGAAAGAATGTGTGTTTTCAATGTGCGTCCAGTCTATGTTTGCTTGGCCTGGCACCTGGAATTCGTGCTGCCACAAGCTTTGGTGAATAAAAGATGAAAGTAAAACAACTTGCATCTTGTGTGCATCATGTGTATCATTTCAGTTCTCATGTCTGCAGTTCAATCTGTGTTTGTGTTATTAATTGAACTCAAAGCTTTCAATTTCCTTTTTTTAAGTACATATGGTTTATACTGGATTCCTCATGTAAGACCTCCAAATTTCCACAATTAAAACAAGTGCCCTCATCAGCTTAAGATCGTCCTTCCTTCCTGTTTTTTTTTTTTTTTTTTTTTATTTTGTTTTCCATTCAAGTTGGACTGAGGATCCTCTAATGAAAAGAATGTGTAAAGCTGGCTGCAGCAGATTCTGAGCCATCTCTTAATATTTCCAAATAGGCTATGACGTGTTCAAAACCAACTTCCAAATCCCCTTCAGAATATGTCTTTAGATTTGATAATGTTCCAAGAGAACATTTCTGGTACGACCCCAGAACGTGACTGCAGAGCTGAAGAATGGCCTTTCAAAATGAACAAACAAAAAACAACATCCTTCTAAAACTGATCTTCTGATCATCACCAAGCTTTTGATCTTACAACTACTCTTAAAGTAAAAAGTTGACATATTAAATGCAGAAAATAAGAAATTGTGTTGTCTTTCAGGAGGAAACATGTTTCACAAAGTTGAGAAAAGGTCAAGACTGGAAAAGTTGTGTAATGGTAAAGAACCCTCAAGGTGGAACATGAGACACTGACTTAACTGTCAATACTAGATTCAGTTGGTGTAAGAAAGAACATCCCTGAATGGGTTTCTTGAAATTCAGATGGGAAGACGGAGAGCACTTCTCCCTTAAAAAAATTAGATTCATGGGAAAAATAGCTCCACAATTTAAAATTTTCTCAACCTAACATTGTGAAACATTTGGAGATTTCATATCTTTGGTATGCAATATGATTGAAAGATTAAAAGTATCTGGAAGAATCCCAATAAACAAGGAACAAGGCCAAAAATTGGCCTTGTTCAGTTGAGCTATTCGTCAGCCATTCAGTTGAGAATAGCCGTGAATTTTAGATCCTCGAGAAGCAATGCATTTAAAACAGCAAGTTCTCTGGCAGAAATCACCACACAGGCTCATTTCTGAAAACCTTTGTAAGGAAACACAGTCCGTGACTGTGTCCATAAATGCAAGTTGAAACTAGCTAGTAATTCTCTGCATTCTGTTTTTACTCAGATCTTATTCTGACCAAAAACGGTGGTACCAATCAGGCTTCTACTCACTTCATGTTTATGGAAAAAAAACATAAAAACCCCATGCACTACTAGGAATGACATTAACCCTTTAAGACCTACCATAGAACCAAGGCCGCCAGAGCTTACTTTATATTTTTACATGCTGTAATGCCATTTTTGGGAGCATTTCAAGTTGCTATACATCAATACAACTGTTATAGCCCATATTTTAATAATATGTATGCATTAAGTCCATAGTAACTAAATAAATTGCAAAAAAGTGCAATAAACTACAAAAAAATTTAAAATCGTTTTTGTTTTTTGTTTTTTACATATATTTCTACTTGGAGAAATTTAAGAGGTTTACCCCTCAAAACTTTAAATACAAAAAAGTTGCAAAAAATAGTTTACAACAACAGGAAATTTATTTTGAGTGTCTTCATAGTTTTATTTTTGAGATACACCATTTTTTATATACTGCAGGAAAAACGAAAAACAATCCTATGATGCAAATTTGCAAAGAAAACAGTATGTGCATCAAAATAAACTATTTTAAGCAGTGCAATTTCAGTTCTAAGCATCCCAGCAACTATTCAGAAAAGCATAAAGTCAAACATGACTTATAAAAACACCAGCATAGGCTTTTAAGGCCTACATTAAAAAACTATATTTTCCGCGAAAACGACGTCACTTCTGGTTTCGGGCAGGTAATGGCGGACATGCGATCGTTCGCGCTGATGTCTGTTTCAATGTGGGAAGTGTTACGAACAGCTGATTGGATCAGCAAAGCGTGTTTCTGGAATATTATGTTTTTGTTCCTGCAAGCGCTTCTTATGCAATTTTTGCAAAGCTATATGTGGAAGGAAACCGTGACCTAGGACAAGCTGATGGCATAAGATGTAAGTACAACTCCTCTGGTTTCATATGCAAAAAAATTATTGCGCTAGCTTACGTGGTTCCGATTCTACAGGGATTTAAAAATAGTTACGCAAAACGACCGGCTTTACAGGGTTAAGGAGCGTCACATTTTTGTTGGAAACAGGTTTGTATTTGGGAAATCACCTAACAACCTGAACTAAAATTTTTAAATGCATAAAGCTAACACTTAAGTAAACATGAGAATTTTTTTAACATCTGAATAAAATCCAATGCCTTGCATGTAGCAAATAATTACGTATATTAATTCTCATTTACCCAATAATTCTGTGTTACAATTCTCCAACAATAACCCAGCAGGGTTTCCTCCATTGTATTAAGTTGTGGCCTGTGCACTGGAGTTTTACAACTACAGCAATTAAGCTTGCTAATGGATCTTGTTAGCCTACCCTTCCAGTTGACCATTTGTAGATTTAAAATAACAGTTTGAGAAAAAGCTATAGATGAATAGAACGCTAAAATTCTATTTAAAAAAACAAAACAAACAAACAGACAAATGTTGGAGAGCAAGTTTTCAGAACACCTATCACTCTTGAATGCTAACCAGGATATTAGTTGTGCTTCTGAGTGGAAAATTCTTGTTGAAAGTGATACCACATATTAAATATAATCTTTTTTAGCCTATATTAGCTTAGATGTATGAACTATTTCATAAGACTTTCCAGCTCAGTTAGATTTTATTACCATAGAACCAGTTCACTAGAACAGCTACCTCGGCTCTTTATATTACAAGATAACAGTTGCAGAATATTAACACAAGTCAAACACCCAATGTCAACACAATGAGAAACAAATTCTTATCTTTTTCCATGAAGAAATGGTATTAGCATTTAAGAATTGTTTTTGGAGATGGTTTATCATTAACTTTTTTTTTCCCATTTAGGATATGAAGAAGGTAATCTGTAACATCAGTCAGCCCAGACAACAGAACAAACATCCCAGTTTACAACCGCAAAGACCTGCCACTTAAAGACTTCAATGACCCCAATTCATTAGTCACAGAACATCATGGTCCACCAGACCAGACAGGGATAGAATATCTAACCAAGAGATAAAACGTCACATTAAATTGAACTGCCAAATATGACCAAGTACCGCCAGGACAGAGTGTACTATGGGGGGAAAAAATAAAAGTTGCACACTTTATAAAACTTTATGAACTTTGAAGATTGGAAATACAGTAAAGAGTTCTTTTGATTTTATGCAGTGCATCCGACTGTCTGTGTTTTGTGGGTGTTGGGACGCCGCTTACCAAACTCGCTGGCACACATGTGCTCAAGAATGGTGTCTGTTTTCATTTCGTTGTCACATGGAGGGCAGATGGGAGAGAAACCTGTGGATGAAAAAACACACACAAAAAAAACAAAGAAACAATTGGACAAGAAATCGGTGCAAATAGAAGACAAAATGTCAAATGGAATTTATGTCGCCCGTTTGGTGACCAGGTCAGGAGTGCTCATATTCAACTTCAGTCAGTTATCCTGCAGACTTCTACGCATCTAACATCTCTGAGCATGCACAGATCCTGTTTACTGTCAGTAGTCAGTCACCTACTCCCTTGGGTTTCGTACACTCTGATGACCTGATGTCAGTGAGGAATGTCTTAAGCTTTTATAGCCAGCTGTAACTAAGAGCTGCAGTAAACGCTTTTCTTTACTTTTTGCTACACTTAGGCAGTTTTCAAAATGGATCTGCTCAACACTCATCTATACACCTTTAAAAAAGTATTAGAAATGTGGAAGGAATAAATGGTAAAGAAATTCAATTCAACCTTAAAAGAATGTTCTGAGATTCCAGAGTTTAAAAAGGGGGCTTTGAGTGTAGAGGTGCATAATAGCCAGCTCAAAGACAAAACTCCCAAAAGAGCCAAAAAGTGTTTTTGCCAAAAAGTAACTCAGTTGAGGCATATCTGCGAACTTTTTACTGACACGATTTTTCAATTTTTTTGAATACCACAAACGATCGTTTCATGCCAAACAGCTGAGCCGACCTTCCAAACAAACTTGGACCTCCATTGCAATCGCAGCATCCTTGCAACATTAACGCCGATTACACTGCGGTGTCCCGCTGTGGGCCTGGATCGATCAACCAAAGGGGAAGGTAACAGCACTCTACTCTCTTCCAGTTGTCCATTTACATGTGTTTAACGAATGCTTGTGAAAGCATCGCTCGGGTGTGAAAGGCTTGTGAAAACAGACAATGTTTACAGAGTCACTGGGTCCCTTTGCCTCTGTGAGCCTCGTTCATCTTTAAATCACTTATCACAGGTCCCTATGCTGCAGTATTCAAGCACTGTTAGCTGGCCTCTATTAACAATCATTAACAGCTGAGGAGATTAGCTTGCCTTTGTTAATGTTTATCACCCTGAAGATCAGATACTGAGAGACTCTCCAGAAAACAAAACTCTGAGTAGCTGAGCTTCAGCCGACCTGTGGGAACAGGCTGGCTTTATTTAACCCCAGTGCTGACAAATGATAACAGGTGAAGTCTGGAGAGCGTGGAACTCTGTGTGGTCCCTCGTCTTACCTTGAAAAAGGAGTCTTTTTCAGAAAAACAGGCCTCCATCCATACCACTATGTCAGTCAGCAAACCCCCCCCCGACAAAACACACACTCACAAACACGTCCCTTCTCCCCCCAAAGATACAGTGAGCTCTGTGTTATTGCAGGAAGATCCACAGTCCCTCCATTTATGGCCAACATGTTCAGTAAGGGGCTTTAGATTGAAATATAAGTAGAGGCCCCACCCCTTTAACTTTATGGTTCAAGTGAATGAGGCAGTTGTAGTCCCTCCACCCCCACTCCTCGGCGTACACCTCACCTCGCCTGAGCAACCGATAGAGAACCTGGCACTGCAGCCTTGCTCTCAGCTTTATCATCCAGAGAATTGTTATTTTCTGCGATTTTTATGGGCTTCTCTGGCATTTCTCAACTTGGCTTGCAGAGGTTAGTGCTGGAAGACAGTTTTGCTGGACTAATGCTATTGCCCTCTACAACCCCATTTGCTGATGCAGCGTCTTGGGAAATCTGCACCAAAGCACCCATTAGTGATAGATGATAGGGGTAAAAGAATGTCCTTGGGAGCTCTGTTTACAAACCGCCCTCCCAACGTCAACTTGGACGCCGATTTTCCAGATCTCCATCTTTTCATCAGATGCACAACATTTGCCAGAGCACAGGGATTAAATATATTAAGGTATTCACATTTTTTTCCCTCCAACCTTTTTATTCCTTGTTGTTTTGCTGCTTCACTTCCTCCCAGCATTGTCCTCCAGCTCAGCGAACACCTTGAAATAAATGACTAACATCTGTTTGAGCTTTTGCAATATTACAACATCACTAGTTGTCAATAGCAAGCAACTTCACCTGCACATTAAAGCCAGGAGATTATAGAGTGAAAGGAAAACGTAAACGTGACAGACTTTCTTTAAAAAACATGAGGGGTGGTGGGTGTTAAAACAGGATCAAATCCAGGTTTTCACGGCTGAATTTGTTCCCCCAAAAGGTCGCATTTGCTTTGTTTGTGCTCGGATTTGCATCTGCAAACACACTTTTCACCCCTGAAACAACAGTCGCATGCCCATTTAACTGCACAGGTGTCGTCTTTTACACGGTGGCAAAAGTGCTGGCTGTTTGTTTTCTAAGTGAGCTAGTTAGTCAGGGTTAGGTAGTTAATACTATATTAAGAAATTGGAACTGATTCAAAGAATGAATATTTATTCATCAAGCTACATTGCAAAATATCTCGTTTTCAACTTCTTCCTTATGAGACAACTTAGAGATTGTTTTCTTTCACTGGAATTGTAAGGGAATACCTTTAAAAAAATTTAAATATAGATCCCTCACCTGAACTTTTTATCTAAACATCCATCCTCTTCCGCTTATCCTTATCAGGGTTGCAGGGGTAATATATTATTTATACAGAATATATAAATAAATATATAATATATAAATATATATATAAAAAGTAAAAATCTCTTAAAAGGTTTTCAACTTTATATTGAAGTTTGACTTCAAATTTCTACATTTAAATTTCACCTTGAGAAAGTTTGTTCATTTAACAAAAATGTAACAAAATAAATAAATAAAATAAATAAAAATAAATATACATCATACAGACAACATGTTAATAAACCTTTTAAATGGCAGGTTTATGCCCAGGAAATATTCAGCTATTAATTTGCATATTTCCTTGTCAAACATTTATTCACAAATATACAGTGTGTGTGTGTGTGTGTGTGTGTGTGTGTGTGTTTGACCTTTTGAAGTTGCTGTTAGGTGAGTTACCTGTGGGTTTTGTAACCTCCGTGGCGTTGGGTGTCGTCATGGCAATGCACACTTCACCTTCGGGAAACTTGTCACAGGTGAGCATCTCCGGCCAGGGGAAGCCGAAGGCCTCCATGATGGGGGCGCAGCCGTCCCTCACGGCCTCGCACATCCAGCGGCACGGGTAGATCGGCCGCTCCAGGCACACGGGAGCAAAGAGCGAGCACAGGAAGACCTGCGTGTCCGGGTGGCAGTTCTTGTGCACCAGAGGCACCCAGCTGCTGGCCTGCTGCTTCACCTCGGCCATGGTCTCGTGCTCCAGCAGGTTGGGCAGCATCATCCGGTTGTAGCCCACGTTGTGACAGAGCCGCAGGTCGTCCGGAATGTCCACGCACTGGGGCGACTTGCCGTAGACGGGCGTATTCCAGGCCAAGTACTCGTACTCTGACGCCCTGCACCCTGACAGGAGTGCCACCGTCACCAGAAGCCGGAACATCCTGCAGAAGCACTCACAAGTAGAGCTCATGATGTGTCTTTGCAGCCACTGAATGATTGCTAACCGGAGTGCGAGGCAACACTCAGTTCATGAAGAAACGCACAGCAACAGCGACGCAGGAGAAAGGCGCTCTGCAATAAGTCCACTGTCTCCTCTGGCTGTAGTCCCACTGCTGGGCTGCGTGCGGCTCCTGCGAGAGTTTGAGAAGGTAATGCGCTGAGACTGTGCGGTGCTCGGAAACAAGAGGGGGTTGTAAAGTGCGCTCTGACCAATCGGAGCGCGTCTGCGCCTTTTGGCACTCGGCTGTCAGTCAAAGCGCTTAATGACCGCGTGTGTAAAAGCTCTCCGGGAGACTCCCCAGCGTTCCGTTTGCGCTTCCTTTGTCGATATAAAGTAATAATAATAATAATAAAAAATATATTTGGATATGTGCGCATAAACTGGGAATACTTTCAGACTGACTGGGGTGTAGGAATAAGCTCGATTAGAAGTTGCACAGCTTTAAAGTGTGACACTGGGTACTTCACGGCTTTGTTTTATGCCTGTAACAAGAACATGGTGCAGGGAACAGCACGAGCCCCTCGCATCCCCGAATGTGAGGAAATCCTGATTTCATTCATATTAAATAAAGAAGCTCTATAAGCTTGTTGCCATCAGCTGTTACTGTACGGAGGCCTGAAACAGCCTAAACGCAGAAACAACTCCAAATGCATTTCCTTTCTTTTATTTTCATCTATTGTTATTTTCCTTTCATTTTTACACCTGTACATATTTACGTATTCATTATTGTAATTTTTTAAACTCATTTATTCTTTGGGCAATTTATGTTCTTCCATATAATGGAGCACAAACCCAGATCATCTCCTAAAGCATATCCACTGTAATGCCTGCCTGCTGCACTCATTATTTGGTTCAGAAAATAGGATAGACAAATAAAAAAATCGACTTTTATAACTTTATTGAAGAAACATGACAGTTTTGGGTGTCATCTTTGACTCAGCAAAAAATAACACTAATTATTATTATTATTATTATCACTTTATATCACTTTATATCACTTTATTATTACTTTATATCACTTTATTTCCTTGAAGGTTGAAGTTTCTTTGAGGATTTTGAATTTAAGAGTCTGAGCCAAGACTTAGTGAGTAATAATAATGATAATAATAACACTTATTTAGGGGCTTTCTTTTAATTCCACTGCTTCTAAAATGTCCTGCAGGGAACATGCCGAGGCCCCGAGGATAAGAAGCCTCCCAAGTAAAGACAGGAAATAGTGTTTTCATTCATAATAATTATCTCTGCAGGAGAAAAGTTCTGAAGGAAAACACCCGATAAGCTGCCTCTGGGAGTTCTTGGGTACATTAACTTATCAAATGGGGAGCTGATGATTTAATACTGCTCTGTTTGTGCTTGTTGTACTTGCAACCTGCTGGGGAACACTTTCCTTATCCAGCTCAGTTTAACACTTGAGGCTAAAGTCAATTTGCTGAGCCCCGAGTGTCCATCTCCTCCCTCCTCCCAGCCTGGCCATATCCAATGATAAGGGCAAAGGTGTGAAATCCCTCTATTTAAATGGAGGTCAATTTGCATTCCATTGTGATGTTAACAGCCCTTGTAGAGCAAGAGGAAAAAGAAAACAGAGGATTTAATTTGATTTTAAGTGTGCACATAGCAAACAGAGGCCTTTGAGAGGAACGCCCTAGTTGAACTTATAGAATAAATGTGTTTTACAGCTGTCTCTGCTGCAAGAGACGCCGCTCACCTAGACATTTTCCTCTCATTGAACTGAGGCCAAGAGAAAATGTTCTGCAACAGCACGCAGAATGTTTAGTACATCATGTGCAGGATGGATGGACAGTGACAGATGGTACCACTTTAAAGAAAAAACACAATTTACTGGGTGCAAACGCTGAAATGAAAAATAAAGATGTTGAAAGAAAACTGTAAATCATCTCAGAGTTATAATCAAATCAGAAATAATCCAACTTCAGATTGCTCATGAGTTAAATTATCCATTAACTCAGACCTCTGTGCTGCAATCTGCATGCCAGAGTGGTGATGTGTGCTCAAAAGAAGGCCAAGTGATTCTCTGAAGCACTTTAAAGATGACACCTCAGTTAACATTTCAAATTAATGGTGAAGGTTTAACAAGCAGGGCTGTGTTTGAGGCGATGCTGTACAGACTGCTTTATGGGCTGATGGCATCCAACAACAGTTTGTGCATAGGTGGTTGCTAAAGCAAATTCCAAATTTTGGAGACAGGAGGCTTGTTTTCTTTTTCTTCTCCAGACGAGACCTGGCTTTGCTCAAATGCATGGGGAAGCCTCCCATCCAGCGTGACGGCCCTGCTAAAAACTACCGTCAGCACAGCAGCAAGCCAACAAAACTGAGAGACAAAAGAAAGGCTGCAAGAGGAGAGGTCTACAGCGACTTTCCATTTGAGAACAGAGCAGAGAAATGGATACTAAAAAAAAAGGTCCTACAAACAAGAACATTTTGGCCCATTAGGCTCTGGTGCTTTAACAGCGTGTGACTTACACAAGAAAGACTAAATATTTGGACTTATAGGCCTGCAGGAGAACAGAGTTTCTTAAAGACCACCAATCCATCTATATTCACCAGGGTTTAAAGCCACAGTCTGGGCCTGGGGGTGCATGTGCACGTATTGCCTTGAAAGGGCATTTTTGGCCCTGGCAGAATGAACATATATGTCGTTAAGCATCTGTCACCAGCGAGCCCTGGCTAAACACTGGATCTGCTCCAGAACACGACGTCAGCCGTGCGCTGATGAGGTGCATGACGGATGCTGAAAAAAAAAAAAAAAGCTTCATTATAACACTGTCAAGGTTTGGAGAAACAAGCACACCTGCTTTTTGTCAGGTAACACTGGGAGAGAGTGGAGAGCTTCTTGATTTGGCATCATTTTATTTAGCAACGGCCTGCAAGGTTTCGTTTAGCTTTGCCCAAAGTCTCATAAGAAGTCCTTTATGATGGATGAGGTGTGCTTGACTTTTCCATGAGCAGATCTTTAGAAAGATTGTCTTGGAAAAATCATAATTGCTGCACCATCGGTGATTGGAGAATGATTGTGTGTGTGTGTGTGTGTGTGTGTGTGTAGACTTCCAAGAACTGAAAGTGGCGTATCTTATTTATGACCTTTTCTTTACAGTGTTTCTGACGAAGATGGATAGCGCTCTTTGCATTTTTGGAGCTGTATTATATCAGAAACATTAGAAGGAGGAGACATGGCACTGCATGAATTCTGGATAGAAATCATTGGGAGAAATTTCACAATGCTAAAGACAGGGATTGTCCTGACCCCAAAGAGCTGATCGACAGCCAAATCTGGAAATATACGAACCACGTGTTGCTCTAAAACATGCAAAACAGCAGAGTTTCGTGCCAGTTTCAGCTGTATCCTGTATCTGCTGGTCTGCTAGGATACTGCAAGCAAAGACAATAAAACAATAACATGAATTAACATGGACATGGGACTGAATTGACTAAGCTGCTAATGAAGTCATAATGTTGTGTAACTTTGTGCATGTGCAGTGGAAGTATAACCTGCATGGGGGAAAAAGTTTTCTAAACCATATTTTGGGGCAAAGTCCGAGTTTATGAAGTGATTTCTATCAGATTTGACTGGCGGTTCTGTGCAATCAGTCTGTGCATGATCCCAATGATCACTGAAACTGACGTTCTGGCTTTTAATGTTGGATGGATCATAATTACTGCCTGGGTCCAACACACAATTAGATGACCTGCTCTTCCTCCAGCGCCACAGCCATCCCCCCCATGTAGTATCTATATAATAATTTCCAACTTCAGTTTGGTTTGAAGTAAAAAACCAGGCCTCTTCCTCTTAACTCCATAAAATAATTATTTATGACATTATTTAGCATCACCAGTTACTTAAGAAGCATCTCTTTGTGGGACTGTGGGAGGAAGCCAGAGTACTCAGAGTAGCCCACACAGGCATAAGGAGAACATGCAAATGTTCCAAGAGGTTTGAACCAGGAACTGTCTTACTGTGAGGATAACCACTGCATTGTTGGGCTGCCAAACATCCAATATGATTGTCTTGCTGGAGGACTTGGCTCATGCATGCAGATATCCTCCATATGAAATATGACTTTTGACAAAATCCAAAAGTACTTACATGTGACACCGTTGTTATCTCAGTTACGCTGGCTTCCTGCTAAATTTAGAGTCAATTTTAAGATCCTGGTCTTGACCTACAGAGCTGTGCACGGACTGGCACCAGCCTACATCTTTGATCTGCTGCAGCCCGATGTCCCTAGCAGGTCTTTGAGGTCATCTGATCAGGGCTTACTTTAAAAAGTACTAAGAGGAGGACTAAGGGTGATAGAGCTTTTGCCACTGTGGCCCCTAGACTGTGGAACTCTCTCCCCCAAACATTAAGAACTGCGGACTCAGTAGCTGTTTTTAAAAAACAACTCAAAACTCACCTTTTTAAAACTGCTTTTGGTTAATTTTTTTTTGTTTTATTTTCTCTTTTTAAATTTTTTTATGACTTGTAATCTTATGTGCAGCACTTTGTGATTCTGTCTTGAAAGGTACTATATAAATAAAAATGTATTTATTTATTTATTATATGAAGGATTAAATATAAGGGTAACAGCAGATTTTGCATAACTTTATACTGTATTGCCACTTCTGCCACAGGTTATACACTACTAAAAAAAAAAAAAGAAACATTAAAGGAACATCTTTTAATCAGAGTGTACCATCAAACCAATAAAACCTCCGGGAGACTAATCTAGTTGGTTAAACAGCAGAGGAGGTTGTTAATCAGTTTCAGCGACTTTGGAACTACCTGGACTCGAGGACCCTGTACATAGGTTCCACAGGAAATCCAACTCCTCCAGGATGGCACGTCATTATATACAAACTATCCTGCATTATATATTGCAGGATAGTTTGCTGTGTCTTCCAGCATCGTGTCAAGAGCATGGAGACAAGATGATTGGATAGATGATTGAGCATGCATCTCAATAGCATATTAAAGACAGGCAGTCAATCCAGGAGCTGGACAGGGTGGTAGAAGGTCCTGTTCCAGTTTCTGTTCTTTTGTAAGGAGGAACAGGATAAGTACTGCCAAAGCTACAAAATGATCTCTAGGAGGCCACTGACCAAACAAACAGCAACAGATGAGGGTGACCTGAGGTCCTGATGTCCTCTACTGGAACCTGTGCTCATCATGCCTGTAAC